GCACACTCATGGTCACCCCAGTGTCGACCTGCGGGCTCTGGTGATCCTTCTACCTCAGCCTTCCAAGTAGCCGGAACTACAGTCGCCTGCTACCAAGCCCGGCTACTTTTGTTGATTTATTGTAGAGATGAGGTCTCACCAAGTTGCCTGGTCTCAAACCCACAGGCTCAGGCAATCCACTCGCTTCAGCTTCCCCAAGTGCTGAGAATACAGACTGAGCCACCAAGCCCAGCCAAAAGTTGACTTTTTTAAAAGATAAAAATGACAAACCATGAGCTAGAACTGACGAGAGAGAGAGAGACAGACAGACAGAGAAACCACATACATTAAATCAGAAAGAAAAAAGGAGACATTACAACTGATACCAAAGAAATACAAAGGATAAATTATAAATTACTGCAAACAACTATAAGCCAACAAATTGGAAAGCCTCATAAAAATGGATAAATGCCTAAACATATAAATAAAAAACCTGAATATATAAATTGCGAGTAATGACACTGAATCAGTAATAAAAAGTCTCTCAAAAAAGAAAAGCTCAGGACCTGATGGTTTCACTGGTGAATTCTATGAATCTTTAATGAAGAATTAAAACCAATTTTTCTCAAACTATTTTTTTTAAATGAAGCAAAGAGAATTCTTCCTAACTCATTCTATGAGGCCAGCAATATACTGATACCAAAACCAGACAAACACACAACAAAATAAGAAAACTAAAGGCCAATATCCCTGATGAACATAGATATAAAAACTCTCAGCAAAATACTAGCAAACTGAATCCAATAGTATATTTAAAAGATCATGTACTATGATCACGTGAGATTTATACAAAGGATGCAAGGATGGTTCAATGTAAGCAAATCAATAAACAGGATATAACACATTAACAGAATGAAGGCAAAAATCCATATGATCATTTTAATAGAAATAGCATTTGATAAAATACAATATCCTTTCATGACTTTTAAAAAAACCTAATAAACTAAGGTATAGGAGCATACCTCAAAAGAATTAAGGCCATATATGACAAACCCATAGCTAACATCTTATTAAATGGGAAAAAGCTAAAAAGCTTTTCCTCTAAGAAGCAGAGCAAGATAAGGATGTCTACCCTATCACTCTTATTCAACATAGTAATAACCAGAGTTATTAGACAAGAGAAAGAAATAAAGAACATCCAAATTGGAAAGGAGAAAGTAAAATTGTTTCTGTTTGCAGATAACATGATTTTATATGTAGAAAACTCTAAAAATTCTCCAAAGGACAATCAGAACTGATTAATTCAGTAAAGCTGAAGAATACACACAAAATCAGTAGTGCTTTAACACACTTAGCAATGAACTAGCTGAAAAAGAAATCAAGAAAGCAACTTCACTTACAAGAGCTATAAAAAAAATAAACAAACTAAAAATAACTTTAAACAAGAGGTGAAAGATCTCTAAAAGGAAAACCAGAAAATACTGATGAAAGAAATTTAAATGGAAACCAAAAAATGGAAAGACATCTCATGCTCATGGATTGGATAAATTAATACTATGGAAATGATCATTGACCATATTACCAAAAGCAATCTATAGGTTCATTGCAATCCCTATCAAAATAACAATGACATTATTCACAGACACAGAAATTCATATGCAACCACAGAAGACCCCAAATGGCCAAAGCAATCCTGAGCAAAAAGAACAAAGCTGGATACATCACACTACCTGACCTCTAAATTTAGCACAAAGCTACAGTGAACAAAACAGCATGGTACTGACATAAAAACAGATACACAGACCAAGAGAACAGAACAGAGAATCATGCATTTACAACCAGTTGAACAGAACAGAGAATAAATCCATGCATTTACAACCAATTGATTTCTAACAAAGGCACCAACAACATTCAGTGAGGAATAAACAGTCTTTAATAAATGGTGAAGGGAAAACTGAATATTCATATGCAGAAAAATGAAACTAGACCTATCTCTCACCATTTGCAAAACTCAAAGCAAAATGGATTAAACAATTAAATGTAAGACCTGAAATTATGAAACTACTCGAAGAACATACTAGGGAAGCACTCTAGGACATTGGTCTGGGCAAATATTTTTTTAGTAAAACCTCAAAAGACCAGGCAACAGAAGCAATACTATACATACAGGATTATACCAAGCTAAAAAGCTTCTACACAGTAAATTAGTAAAACCACTATAGAAAACACTATGGAGCTTCCTCAAAAAACTAAAAATAGATCTACCTTATGACTCAGCAATCCCACTGCTAAGTATATATCAAAAGGAAAGCAAATCAGTATGACAGCGCTATCCCATGTTTGCTGCAACGTGATTCACAACAGCCAAGATATGGAATTAATCCAAGTGTCCATCGACAAATAAATTGATAAAGAAAATGTGGTATAGGTGGTTTCTTTTGCCCATGTGAACTCTGGCATGTCTCCATTTCTTTTTTCCCTTCTTTCTCTAATAAACTTTGTTTGAAAACTTTGAAGAAGAAAAAAAGGAAAGAAAATGTGGAATACACACAGAATGGAATATTATTCAGCCATAAAGAATGCAATCCATAGCCGGATATGGCGGCACATTCCTGTAATTCCAGCTACTTGGAAGGCTGAGGCGAAAGGATCACCTAAGCCCAGCACGTGGAGGCTGTGGTGGCCGTGTGTGTGCCACTGTACTCCAGCCTGGGCAACAGTGAGACACCAACTCAAAAAAAAAAGAATGTAATTCTGTGATTTGCAGCAACATAAATAGATAGAAGTGGAAGTCATTATGTTAAGTGAAATAAGCCCAGCACAGAAAGAAAAATATTGCATGTTCTCACTCATATGTGAGAGCTAAAAAGGTTTATCTCATGGGGATAGAGTAGAATGATGACTACTGAGGCTGGGAAAGTTGGGTGGGGTGGGGGAGGAAGAAAAGTTGGTTAGTAGATATAAAAAAAATAGTTAGGAGGAAAAAGTTCTAGTGTTCAATAGTACAGTAGAGTGACTATAGTTAATGATAATTTACCGTATATTTCAAAATAGTCAGAAGAGAATATCTGAAATGTTTCTAACAGAAAGAAAAGATAAATATTTGAGATAATAGATATCTTAGTTAGTCTGATGTGGTCCTTACACATTGCATGCACGTTATCAAAATATCACATATATCCTATAAATATGTACAATTATTATGTGTTAATGAAAACAAAAGGAAAAGACCATGTATTTTGACAAAGTAGAGTACCTGGAGTAGGATAGCATCAGATCATATCCATGTAAAATATATATAACACACATGTTTTTTTAAAAATTAACTAAAAAAGAGAATTGGCTAGCTTTAAGTAAGAATACATTTTGGTCTTCTGGTAAATTGAGGTTATTATTTAAAGTTGAAAAGTAAATGCCCAGCACCTTAAGAGGCCAGGACAGGAAAATTGCTTGAGTTCAGAAGTTTGAGAATAGCCTGGGCAACACAATGAGACACCATTTCTACAAAAAAAAAATTTCTTTTAATTAGCCAGGTATAGTGGCACACACCTGTAGTTCTGGCTACATAGGAGGCTAAGATGGGAGGATTACTTGAGCCTAGGAATTCAAAGCTACAGTGAGCTATGATGGCACCAGCCTGAGCAAGACCTTATCTCTCCAAAAAAAAAAATTAAATTAAGAAAAGAAAAGAAGTAAATGTATATCATCTTCTAATTATCTTACTAACTTATGAGGTGCCTATCATTTGCCTAAAAATTTTGCAACTAGAAGATTATGATGAAGTCCTGGCTTTTTGAGTGTACATTTTGATAATTTCAACAATTCAGAAAATGGGACTCAGAAATAGTTTAAAAAGTATTTCTCTACAGGAAGAGATTGAGAAATAGTAAACAATGCCTGATATAGTTGAAGCCTAAGTTCTTTATTTTCTCTGGTTTATGAGCATATGCTTATTTTTATTATTGAAACTAAACGAGATTATTATATATTGATTTCATGTTTATTCATTATAACTAACATTAATATATATGTCTGTATCTAAAGATATTTTGAATCAAGTTGTGAATATGATGGAGTGGAGAAGAATTATTTGGGGACAGCTGCTTTTTATGGCAAATGAATTATAGCCATAAAAAGTAGAAAAAGAGAAAAGATGGAAAAAAGTAGTCATTTGATTCATTATTACAAATAAAACTGTTTAAAAATAAAAAAGCAGCCTAGCAACATAATGAGACTTTGTTTCTACAAAAAAAAAAAAGGAAAGAAAATTAGCTGGCATGGTGCCACACACGCACCTGTAGTCCCAGCTACTCAGGAGGCTGAAGCAGAAGCATTACCTCAACTCAGAAGTTTTAGACTACAGTGAGTCACAATTGTGCCACTGCATTCCAGTCTGAGTGACAGAGTAAGATCTTGACTCAAAAAACAAAAAGAAAAGAAAAGAAAACAAATTATTTTTAAAAATACACCCTGGTCACCAGACAGATAGATTAAGGCTTAGGGAATGAAAAAAAAATGACAGTATCCTTAATAAATGTTATTACACACAATTTTCACTTCCCTATACAATTATACTCGACAGTTTTTCATGTTTTGACAAAAAATGTAAAAGTCACAGAATAATAGTAATTTCTCCCATTGTCACTGCGTGTTTCAGCTTACATTTACAGGCTCATTTTTTTTTTTTTTTTTTTTGAGTTGGAGTCTCACTCTGTCGCCCAGACTGGAATGCAGTGGCCGCTCCCGGCCACCGCAGCCTCGACCTGGCGGGCTCCGGCGATCCTTCCGCCTCAGCCTTCCAAGTAGCCGGAATTACAGGCATGTGCTACCATGCCCAGCTGATTTTTTTATTTATTGTAGAGAGATGAGGTCTCACTGCCCAGTGGATGGCCTGAGCAGGCTCACTTTTTATAGTCCCGAACTATCATGCAAATTGAGGATTGCTTGTTCAGTGTCAAAAAGTCTCATCTGAAGCATCTCTCAAAGTGCAAAAATAACTTAAAGATAATGTGATTACCTACCTGTAATTCTTCTGCTGTAGAAACATCTAGTCCTGTTAGATCTTGTATTCTCATATTAATGCGAGACACCACAGGGTTTTCATAGCCAGAAAGCCAGGCACTAAGAACAAGAAAAAAATATTAATTTTACTGATAATGTTTCATTACATGAAGATTAACAGCTATTATTTAAAAGCCGTAATATATAGGACAATAAACCTTTATGCCTTCTAGTGCGCCTGCTGCGTTTTGTTTCATCTCTTCCACATCAGCAAAACATTTCCCTTGGAGGATTTTTTTCATCCAGGGAAACAAACAAAAAAAATCACTCAGGGCAAGATCAGGCAAACAGAGCGGGTAGGGGTTAGGGATCATGTCATTTTTAGTCAAAAACTGCTGAACATAGTGTGGTGTGGGCAAGTATGCTTGTAAATCACTCATCATGAAATGAGTAAATGTGCTAAAGAATCTCAAAAAAAAAAAAAAATTCACTGACGCTGAACACAGCTTCTCACAACAACACTAGCTGGTACATTGATGTGGATGGGTTCCTAGAACACTTACCTAATGGCGGAAGCCTGTGCTACATACAATGGGCCTGCCCTCCAAAAGATAATTCATTTTTGGGGGGTCCTCCTTTGTATAATCAACTTTCCTCTCTTAAAAATCATTCCACAGCTTACTAGGCTGATGTCTTTTCCACTAATAAATAAAAATTTAAAATTATTTCCCTTTAAGTCTCTTTCTCCCTCCACCTATCAACTTCTTTCTCTTTCCTCTTTTAAGTCAACTTTTTCAGACCTCTCATCTCTGAACCCATTCTAATATAGCTTTTGTCCCTTATCACTCCATCAAAATTGCTCTTGCTAATGTCACCCACAACCCTACTGAGCTACTAAATCTAATGATATCTTCCAATTCTCATTTTATGTATTCCTTTGGTAACGTGACAACATTCATCCTTCTGGAAACTCTCTTCCTCAAACACTCATTTTCCAGGTATTCCTTCAGTGTCTCTTGTTAGTTTGTCTCAGTCACTTTTATGGTCTCCACCACTATATTCTGCCTCCCTCTTAGGGTCAACCAACACTTCCTTCAAGAACATGTTTCCTCTAAGTAATGCTTTGGATCTCACACTAGTTAGCACTTCTTTATAGAAGACTCCCTTGACCCTTACCCCTGCCAGACTAAATCAACACACACACACACACACACACTTTTTTAAGGATAAGGAAGAGGCAGAGAAGAAAAGATCACTAATCATAACATGAAATTGACATGATTTCCTATTAGAATTAAGCCAAGATAAATAATACTGTTATATAATTTCTCACATCCATTTCAGAGAAAAAAAAATATATGGGTCTTTTTTTATCTTAGACTGACTTCAGTAAAATCATTTTTTAAATATTAAATAACATAATTTCTCAAATCTATAATAACAACTGGCATCATTAGGACTGTTTTATGAAACATTAAGAATCACATCTCTGTTTCAGCTGTTACATCAATATACCAATCGTTTGCTGGGGGTGCCACGATTATTTGCAAGTTTCTTCATGTAATAATTGTTCAAGACTGAAGTAAATTCTCTTTCCCAGTTTTGCTTTCTTTTTGAGTACAAGCAAATACCTTTGTCTTTTGTATACTAAAGGGAAATATAGTGAAATGCAGTTGTAATTTTCTAAGTTTCATTTTATTAAAAATTAATTATGATTAGGTGGAATCCTTTGAAATATTTTTAGTTTTTAAATAGCAAGGTTTCTGAGTACCTTTTCAAAACTAGCTTTCCATTTTGGCACATGACCTCATAAACATGAAACATTCAATCATGTTTGCTAGAGCACTTTCTTCTACTGACTACACTTTGTCCTCAATAAGGGCTTAGTGCTGTAATTTCAAATAATTTCTACATACACAGGTAACAGAGTTTAAAATTAGTTTCCACTTCACTAAACAATTTTTTCCACTTATGTACCTGCGGAAGGTAGTCTGAATGTACACATACACTTGCATACAAATGTGCATATATATACTTGACCCTTGAACAACACGGGTTTGACCTGTGTGAATCCAGTTATACGCCAATTTCTTTTACACCAAATGTGGATTGAAAATACAATGGTCTTGGGATGAAAAAGTCACATATAGGGAGGGTTGACTTTCCATATAGGTGGCTTTCACAGGGCCAATTTTGGAATGTGAGTATGTGTGGATTTTGGTATAGGCAGAGGATCCTGGAACCAATCCCCCATGTATACTGAGGGATGACAGTACATGTATTTTTAAAGTAAGTTACTTTTACCATTAGAATAAAACTAGGCTGGGCATGGTGGCTATGCCTGTAATCCTAGCACTTTGGGAGGTGGAGGTAAGAGTACTGTCTGAGCCCAGAAGTTTGAGACCAGCCCAGGCAACTTGGCGAGACACATCTCTACGATAAATAAAAAAAATTAGCCAGGTGTGGTGGTGTGGTACCTATGATTCCAGTGACTTGGAAGGCTGAGGCAGGAAGATTGCCTGAGCCCAGCAGGTCAAGGCTGTGGTGGTCACGAATGTGTGCACCGCACTCCAGCCTGGGTGACAGAGTGAGATTTTGATTTAAAAAAAAACAAAAAAACTAGACTACAGTAACAACTCTGAGGAACAGTCTAGTCTTCCTCAGAAAACCTTCTCAAGGTTGAAGAAGTGGGTACAGTTCGCTGAAAGATACGCGAGACTATAGTCTTCTCTTCATCTGTTAGTCCCGCATAGTCCTGCCTCACCACCCCAGCTACGTGCACAGCTTCCTCCTCAGCAGCACTAGCCTTAGCACTAGTGTAACACCGGTCAGAAACAGAATGATGCTCCTTGGACACCCAATGCTGTTTACAATCTTTCAGTAACTCTCACTCTCTACTTTGTGCCCAATGTCCGTATCCAACTAATCATCAACAAGTTCAAGATATCTCCCTCTGCAGAATGCCCAAATAATAGTTTCTGTGCCTCTATACTCCATGAAGAACAGATATATACCTTCATTCTGGCCTCCTTTCATTTCCTGAATGCTGAAATTACATATTCAGATAACTTTGTAATATGCTGTTGTTCACTCGTAGCCCTGCAGCTATTTCAACACCATATTCAACACAGCTATTTCTGTCCCAGAGGCACCTGCCAGAGACATATATCATAGCTTGGGTCATCTTTAGCATTCATCTGCTCCATTGCAGAGATCAGAACAGCCCCATCCTGGTGTGGGAATCAGCATCAACCTATTTTCACAAAAGACTAATGTCCTGCTGGTACTCCTCTTCTTTCAAGAGGAAAGAAGTATCTTTGTCTGCAAGTTTTTTTGTTTTGTTTTTGTGTGTGTGTTGGAGTCTCACTCTTTGTCACCCAGGCTGGAGTACAGTGGCAAGCCCACAGCCACCACAGCCTCGACCTGCTGGGTGCTGGCGATCCTTCTGCTTCAGCCTTCCAAGTAGCTGGAACTACAGACATACACCACCATGCCCGGTTAGTTTTTGTGGCTTATTGTAGAGATGAGGTCTCACCAAGTTGCCCAGGCTGGTTTTGAACCTCCAGGCTCAGGCCATCCTCTTGTCTCTGCCTCCCAAAGTGCTGGGATTACAGGCTGAGCCTCCGTGCCCAGTCTTGCAAGTATTAACATTTTCTCTTTCTTTCTTTCTCCAGAGACAGAGTTTCACTCTGTTGCCCAGGATGGAATGCAGTGGTGCTAACATAGCCCACTGTAACCTGGAACTCCTGGGCTTAAGCAATCCTCTCACCCCAGACTCTTGAGAAATGCACCACTACACACAGCTACTTTTTTTTCCTTTTAATTAAAAACATTTTTTTTAAAAAACAGAGTCTCTATGTTACCCAGGTTGATCTCAAACTCCTGGCCTCAAGCGATCCTCTTGCCTCAGTCTCTCAAAGTGCTGGGAGTACAGACATGAGCCATCACACTTGGCCTCTTTTAACATTTTCTTTGATATGAAGAAGTAAAATGCTCTGCACAAAAGTAACCAAGCTTATAATACGATAAAAGTAACTTTGACGGGTGCCTGACTGATGCTACTAAAGAAATCAGACTGGTGGTCAGGAGGATGAGGGTGGTGGCAGTTAATTACCCAGAACCTTCCTGGGTTACTCACAGCCCTCCAAGAATCTTGGAGTTGGCAACTGCCTGCAGCCTGAAACACATCAGGGAAAAGTCACCTCTGAGCACCTGGAAGTAGAGAAGGCAGTTGCCCCTAATATGCTTTTACAGTGCTATGTATCCTTCCTTTGTAGCCTTTATCACAGTAATAATTTTACGCTATATCATTTGAGTGCCATTTGAGCAAGGTGAGGTACCTTCATTTGACTACTATTTCCAAATACATATAAATCTTGCCTGTTTCTATTCACCATTGTATCAACAGAACCTACAAAGCCTGGCAATCAACAGAACCTACAAAGCCTGGCACATAGTACATAGTATTGGATACAATAAATATTTGCTGAATAAATCCTAAAGACTTCTTAAAACAAATCCAAAATTTATCCTATTTTACCAAAATTATTTGTTTTGTGATCTCTTGCAAATTTATCAGACTGGCTGAGTAGAATTCTTCAGTGTAGCAGAAATGGGAAGAATCGAAGAATATTTTTATTGTAAAGAATCAGCTAATAAAAATGTTTTTTTCCCTAATTCTGATCAAGTTCCTGATAGAACTAATCTAGTATGTCAAAGTACCTATTTTTTCTGCCTTGTTGGATTTTTTAACTTTACAAGCAACCAACCAACTACTGACTTAATTTTTATAGGTAATTGCAATGCAAAATTGGCAAGTGTTCCAATAAGGCTTCAAAGTAAAAACATCTTGGTAAGATAATTGTTTCTATTCCTTCCTGAAACTTATTACCCACAGAGAACTTAGCTTCTGATATCTTCAACTTCCCTCCCTGCTACTAACAATGTTTAAGTATCTATTCTTATCTTTTTCTCTTGTACTTTGGTGGAATCATTGTCCTTCAGCCCTACAAAGGCAGACTTTTTATCTACCTTTCTAACTCCACATGCCTTACTTCAGCAATTATTACCTCCCTTTTTATCTTTAATCTTGTTCTTGTCAATGTTTGCTTATTACTCGT